CCGGTACATTTTTTATCAGCAGTTGAAGCCATTGCGCGCAGCACCAAGCTGACACCAAAAGTTCCATATCCAACAGCTCTGGAACTGTTGTAGCTAGAGGTCTGAAATTTTCTGCATTTGTGGTTGACATGATGTAGAACAAATATAATACAATAAAACCTGCTTTTTCTCAAGAATGTCTTTATTACTGCTGTTCAAAAAAGACCTATCATTTCCGAGAATTAAAAAAAACAACTTTGAGTCATGCTTGAACTGATGCAGGTTGGTCTCTGTTCTAGTCACCCAATTTTAATGTATATATTAGGAAACTAGAGGGTGTTAGCTTTCAAAAAAATTATTGTACATGTAATTTGGGCTTACAGTTCCTAAGTTATTTGCTTTTCCATTTGGGTATGCAAAATAGGAGAGGATTACCCAAAATGAGGTGGATGTTAAGAGGTTAAAACCTATGGAAAAGGTGTGAAAAATCTTTGGTCAAAAATGCTAAACCCTTTGTGAGGGTTTTGTAATAAAATAATTTTATGCTGGTTTGAGTTAGATAAATGTTTGCACCAAATTGCATCCATAAGATGGAAAACATTTTAGAGTGACTGTCATGGAGAGGGTGCTATGAAGCTTTTCTTATTGGCAGGCCAATTTGTGAGACTTTCAAAAATGTAAGAAATTTTGCCAGTTTTCAAAGATTTTCACATTTCAAAGTCTTTAAAGCAGAAATTTTAAAAAGCCTGTTTTTTTAATCTTTGGTGTTGTGAAATTCAGCTTGCATATGCATTAGGTAAGGCATGTTGAAAGTCACTGAAATGCAAAAACATTCTTCATCGTGCCCACAAACACAGTCGCTTAGAAGGCCAGAAGTCGTTATTTAAACGACACGGGTAGATTTACACGCAGAGCTCTTTCCATGATTGAAAAGATTTTTTGTTTCCGTTTCATCCTGCTCAGTAAGCAGCTTTACAAAGTCCCAATATGCCTGTGACACTTTCTGTTTCTTAAGGTCTGCTGTGTGTTTAGTTTCTATTTCATTGTCAAACAGTAAATGATCAGGGCTGTAACTGATGATTCATCAATAACTGAACTTCTGCAATAATTTAGAGAACGAAAATGCATTATAGAAAAATAGAAATCTTAACATAAATGCATACAATTGCTCCCCCAATAATGATAGAAAGTGTGGTAAATTATTTAATAACTAGACTGACCTTTAGTTACCACAGATAGACTGCTGATGAATAGAAAGAGCACATTGGCTGACAGACGATGGAGCCAATGAGGAATAGAGGAAGTAAAAAGGGGGCGGGTGGGAGAGTCGGAGTGAAAACTGAATTTGACAGGTGAAAGAAAGATGGAGGTAGATAGATGAAGCCTCCGGAAGCTGTGTGTGGTCACTAATTAGGAAAATGGTTCTACAAGGTGAAATGGGTCATGTGTCCTTTCCCTTAGTCTTTCCGTTTCCTATAGAGGGGCTAATTAGAGCAAGTAGGATTGAAAGCGCTTCATGTCAGCAGATAAGGACCGTTCAGTATTTTTTTATAAATTTCCTGTCTGTATTGTATTTTTCTATATTCATATTATGCAATAACTTGATGCTCATGTCTTTTTCACCACTTTCATGTAACATTTTATTTGGAATTTAAGTGATAGACCAAAAAAAGTTGATGTCTCAATTCACTTTATCACTGTAATGTAGAAGGAAATGGTAAAAAAATAATTTGCTCTCAACAGTTCTAGAGATTTCAGGAAAATATTTAGATATCGGCTTATCTTGTTTTTATTTATAAACTAAAGCCAATATCTAAATATTTTCTTGAAATATCTAAATCTGTTGAGAGTAAATTAGTTTTTTATCATTTGTGATTTGAGGTTGTGTCATGCAAAAGTCAATCACTAACTTCACGCTTCATATTTCACTCTATGGATGGTAAACTCCACTCCTAAAAAGATAATGTCCTAAAGTTCTGTTTACCTGCTCCAACACTGATACATCCCCCCTCAGTGTGCCTTAAAATATAAAGCAAGCACATAATAAACCCTTTATTAGATTTATTTTAGAACCAGGGGAACATCTACAACATACAGGATGAAGGCCCTTGATTACTGAAATAACAGTCATGAAGTTAAAGGAAAACTGTGCATGTAAAACAAGGTGTGCAGTTGTTTTCCTTTTACTTGAATATCTGTAAATAAAGTTCATCACCTCATTACCCCTAAGCCTTCAGAAGTCTGTAGGTTAAGTGAGGGTTTTTTTTCTTAAAAAACATAAGTGAACAAATAGGATTATGAAAAGGACAGGAAATAGATCTGCAAAAAAACCCTTTAGTTCAAATCAGACTTAGGAGTTTAAACCATGTAAAGGGCTTTGGACATCTCACAGTGATTAGTTTATTACACTCTTTGATAGAAGACAAGTGTTTGGCACAGGTGACATACCAAAACATTGGCTCTCTACAACAGCATTAATCACAGAAACAGCCAAGAAGCCTACGGTAACTGGAAGAGCTGCAGAGGTTCTCCACTTAACTGCAGGAATAGTATGTGTTAAACAACTGTTGTCATTTAGCAATATAACATAATCACATTTTTATGGAAGAAAGACAAGAAGTAGACCATCAATACACTATCCTTGTTGTGATAAATGATGGTGAAGCATCCTGTTGTGGAGAGAAAGCCACAAAATAGTATCGTCTGTAAATCATGTCAAAACATATATGCTCTCTGGGACTTTTAAGTCCAAAGAAAGACCCAACTGAGTCATCAAAAAACTAGAGAGTAATTATTTGGAGATGCTCCCTGTTCATTTGTGCTTATTTGTAATAAAGAAGAGGGAAGTATTTCAGTCTGTAAGCTTTTGAAAATATAGATTAAAAAAAAACTTTGATCACTACTTACCCACTTAAAGAGCTTATCAAAAATGCAAAGCATGTTGCATATTTTTTATTTGAGAAGTGTTTACTGCGTATCCTTATTCTTCTATCCTCTGGCTATACAAGTCTCTGAAAGAAGAACAACAAAAGCTGAGGCTTGCAGTGCAAAGGAAAAAAGGATCACAGAAAAGAGGGAAAGAAGAAACAATTTTAGGAGGAGTGAAAGAGATTTGTAGGCATATGAGAGCAAAGAAGAGCGTGGAAATCAAAATATAACTCAAGGAGTGGTGGCAGAAAGATGGTGAGAGAAGAGGTTATGAAGAAGAAAATTGCAGCTGTGGTAAAACAGAAACAACACTTAGATAGGATTTCACTTCTATAGCTTGATGGCAGGGAGGGAAAAAACCTTCATTCTGTGAGTGTGCCTGTATGTCTGTGTGTTACATAAAATTTTTGTTTATGTGTAGAGGGAACCATTTTTTGAGGGTGTTGATAGCTTTGTGAAGCAGAGCTGAACAGTAGTTATATATACTGGGACTACAGACAGATTGGGTGTGCTCAGCAGAAAGTTATAGGAGTTGAAAGCAGGGATTAAAAAATAGGAGCAGCTTTGGAGACTAATTTGGTGAGAGGTTTCTGGTGTTTGTGCCACAGAAGCCAGAAAATCTCCTGTTCCATTACCTCAATACAAAGAAACTAACTTCGTCTATGACTCTGAGCTCGTGTGTGTGAACTTTAAGCAGCCAGAATTTTAGGAGCTGTAACTAACAGCAGAAAAGTGTTTAGGATAATTTTCAGGGTCACGCTGACATCACTACTCCTGTTCTGGCTGTGCACATTTTAAGCTTTTATTTTTTCTATTTTTCCCACACATGTATGATATCATTGAACCAGTTTTAGTAACAGAAAAATACTAACTGTATGAAAACACAAAACAATGATTTCAATTATTAATGGAAAAACAGAGCAGGGTTGGAATCCTGGTTGTTTCAGTAAGGGCCTCCTTCATAAAATCCAGAACCAGTTGTATCGACTCAGTGTGATGACAACTGAATAAGAGAGCAGACAAAAGCATATTAACAATCCAAACAATCCAGCCTTATGTGAAAAACCTAAATACAGAAAAAAAAGTTCTCTAATTAGTAGCTAATTACCACATTTGGCAGTGGTATATATCTGTATAGGTATTCCTGCCATATTTGTTTTCTGGAAGAAGCTGTCCTTTAAGGTGATGCTGACACTTCCTGTTGGTTTTAAGACTGGACTTTGACTGGACCACTTCAACTCTTTTATTCTATTTATAGCATATTCAGAAGTGGACTTGTTGACGGGCTTTGAATCATCATCCTGCTGCATTGAGCTTAAGGGTTAATTGTTTCTTCTCAGTTGTTGAGTTTCTGCAGATCTGTACTTGATGTATTGATTTTTGTATCTCTTAGTCTGGTTGTTGTCATTAGGTTCTATAAATGTGATTTTCTGTCTGGTAAATCAAACAAAACTGGTTGATCCACCAGTAAAACCTTATTTTCGGCCCTATACTTTTATATTGGGGAAGGCTTAGTTATGTTTTCTTAATACATAGGATTCTATCCATTTCCAACATGCTTATTCACCGTGAGGGGTGCTGGTGCCCATCTCCAGCTGTCAATGGGCGAGAGGCAGGTTACATCCTGGACAGGTCACCAGTCAATCGCAGGGCAACATATAGAATAAAAAAGGAAAAACAAACACTCACAACTAAGAAGAATTTAGAGAAGCCATTTAACCTAACAGTCATGTGGGAGGAAGCCAGAGTACCCGGAGAGAACCCACGCATGCACAGGGAGAACATGCAAACTCCATGCAAAAAGACCCCGGGTCAGGAATCGAACCCGTAACCGTGCTACCCACTGTTGCACTGAGCATATAAATAGGATTGACATGTGAAAATAACTTGACATATTTAATTATTAAATAGTTAGATCTGAAACATGTAACATTAAAAACTAACCTGCAGAAATAATCTAAACACTGGCAGTTAAAACCTCCACTTAAAACCTCAAGAGTTGAGGTAGTTTGTTTTTCTTTTATTCTGTTTTCATTCTTATGCCTATAAATCTGAGTTATTCTAACCATTTTAATTATACCATTTCCTCACAGAAATCACCACGCTGCCCAATACAGTGACCCCAACCACTCCCAGACTGGAACAGACAACTCCTGCAATGAAATCAGGTAAACACACGAATGTTTCTCAAAGCATCACTGCATTGACAGATAAGTAGATTTCTTACATATGATTATATTTCCAACTGTGTAACATCCAAGCACATAAAAACACACTTACTCTTTTAAGGTCAAAGTCATGATGTCACTGTGCACCACTGGGCCTCTGGGCTTTGAAGTCTGTTACATTCAGAGTCCCATAGGAAGCTCTGTTTGAGGGGGAAATAAGCTCTCACAACTGGAGGATCTTAACCTCCTCATGCACATCGACTCACACTGGGATATGATTTCACAGCTATAGGTCAACTGACTGTCAAGCAAGTAGTCTCCCTGGAGTTTATCTACAGCAGTAGTTGTTTATGTAGAATATCTTATCATCTGATTTCCCATCTATCAACCTCCCTTCTGATCCTTTATTCTTTTTTTGCCACTCGCCCTTTATTGCCTTCGTTAATTCTATTTTTACCTCTGCATTTCCTGATAGAATCACTTCCTCATATGTTGTATTGCATTTACATTTTTATTTTATTCTATTCTTCCTTTTATATTTGTGAACATTTTTCTTTTATATAAGAAAACCCGATCAATCTCTCAGCAAAATCAAAACAGAGATAGGAATAAAAAGTGTTATTTTAAACTTTTCACTGATAATCTGCAATACTGAAAAATAGGGAAACCATCAGTTTGGTCCCTAGTTTGGATGAAAAAACACCCATATTCTTTAGTTTTCCATCATGATTTACAACAAGATCCATTTATGAGAACCATTGCCTTTGTTTTCTTTTTTCATCAAAATACCAATTCAGATTTTTCTTTTCTCTCTTGTGTTTTTAATCTAATGCATGATCTGTCTTTCTCTCTCAACCCACAGCCACAACTCCATCCCTGTCGGCCGTGTGTGACTTTGAGCAGAGTTTGTGTGGCTGGTCAGCTGATCCCCACACAGGTGTGAGCTGGTCCCTGCACATGGCCGGAGGCTCAACTGGACACAACACTCATGGGACGCGGCAGGACCTTTCCCTGGGATCAGACAGTAAGAACAGCCTTAAGAATTTCAATATAAAAATCAAAGCGTCTCAATCGTTACCTTGACTTGGTATGTTTGGATTTGTGAAACTGATTTCTGGTTATTGTATGTTTGATATTTAACAGCAAATGAAGCTTATGTTTAATCACAGTTACTCATGAAAACACAAAGTTTCTCTAATTTATGTTTCTAAATACTTGTAAAACACAACAATTTAAATAAATTCAACAAACTTGCTAGTAGGAATTAAATTGATGAAAATTAGTATTAATTGACCTATCTGCTGACCTCCAGTTTAAAGAAACCTGAAAGGCTTAAGACTGAAAATAAGTCATTGGAATTTTATCTAGTTCAGACTTTTTTTTTTTTTTATAACATCATTTTGACCTTTTTAGCTGTTTTATAAATGTTCCAATCTCTTTTTCCATTTAATCTTAGTTGTTGAAAACAAAAGGTTTTTCAAACATAAGTAAAAGATTGTGTATTTGTACATTTGGTATTCAGGTAGCTAATGTAAGAGCTAAGACTAATAATAGACTATCCATTCAATATGCACCTAAACTAGCATATTTTACCCTCCGAGGCTGGTGTAATGGAGATCCAAGTGGGACATTTTATTACCCAACATACAAACCATAGATAAATTGGAGGAATGTGCTCCTTTTTCAGTGCAATGTTTTTTTTATGCCCCTCAAAGGGTTTTTCGCAGTGCTCACATAACAAAGTGCGATCTTTTACAGTTTTTTTTAAAGTAAGATACAAAATAAGTATTATAATTAGCAGCAGATCCTATTAGTTGTGTTTTTATTCCCCTTTTACTTCAAACCACAATGAACTCCGTTCTGCTCCGTCATCTTAAACATATAGAATACACTCTGAAGCCCTGTTGTTTACCCTAATTACTGTTTTTACCAGAAACCATGACTAGAATTCAGTTTTGGACAGGGTTCATGTTGCATGCTTTAAAAAAAAAATTATTACATAAAGGTGAGGTCAGTGGCAGACATGATCTTTAGACCTTAGACTAATGTAAACCTTCCATCTTTTAAAACCTCTGCAGGTTTAAAACACTGAATTCCTCAATTTTATATTCAAAACTTCAAGCTGTTTGCAAACATTCTTCATTTCAATAAATTTCTCCTTCTTCAAGACAGTTTCTAAACAAATTTTAACCTTTCTTAGAACAAAGCTTTCTTGGGCTAATTAACATCAAAGTGTTTTTCTGGTGGAGAATTTCCACACGTCTCAGTGCTGTGAGGAACTACTGGAAGCAACCATGATGCAAGGATTTCTCTCTGATATGCTGGAAGTGCACACTTAATTAAAGTTCAGGAATAATGCTGGATTTAAGGGTTTCATTTTCCATAACCTAGTTTACTGAGTTGTTTTTAAGTTCTTTTACCATTTTTCCTTATACAGTACAAAGCAGAACTGCTTCTCTGTTTTTGTTTTGTTTGTTTTGGTTAGCACTTTTTATTATGCCTTTTATATACTTGTTGGCCACTTTATTACCAATAACTGTTTTATTGTTGTTAACAATAATTTGTAACAGAAATGTACTGCTTTAGGATATCTAGAAAGAGTCAACCTGAATTGTCAAATTTCAAACTGAGCGTTAAAATGGAAATAAAGTAGATTTCTGTGTTTTAATATTTCATTGTTGTTGGTCCTAAACTGGCTGGTCTAGGTGTTGTTTTTCCCTTCCGATTTTACTGCTCAATCATCTCTAAGGTAGAAAGAGAAAGGTATGGAAAATAGAAAATTCCTTGAGCAATAGTTGTGTTGTAAATAATGTCCTGTTGATCTTAGAGGTTAAAGAAAATGGGCATAGTGATGTGAACTGTTACAACCAAAGTTAAATACCATCTCTGAATACACACACATCAAACCAGCAAAATTTTCCACAAGGTGACATTTCTATCAGCTAAAATAGATTAAAAAATAAAATAAAACAAAACTGACGCTACAGTTTAGAGGCTTACTAAAAATGGACAGTATTATTTTGGTAACATTTTGCCTGATCTGGTAAGCCTTAATTTAATCTTCAGTGTTTAGATGATGAGGTCAGAATTTGGTGCAACAACCACTAAGGCTGAAGGATCAACAGTTCAGGTTAGTGTTGTTGGTATCACCAAACGAGGAAGGGCATATTTTGGCATGTCTTGGAGCGTTTAGTTTCATTTTATACGTATATCCATCAAACCCCACCTGAATATTGAGGCTGACCATCTTCATCCCTTTATGGTCCCTGTTTATCATTTTTCCACAACAATGATGCACCAGGTCACAGATCTTAGATAAGTAGCATGTAGTTTCATCAACATTACCATAAACTTAGTTAACAACATGGTATATTTTTGTCCCTTATAGTTATCTGGTTTGTATCCTCTGCTCTGCCTTTCTTTTTTTCCCCTTTAACTGGCATACATTTTATTTCCCACTAATATCCTTATAAACTCTCTCCATTCTCAGTCTTCCTCATCTCATTTTTTCCTGTTCCCCTTACGGCACCATGCCTCGTTCAATCCATCCCTCTGTTATAAGCTCTTCACCTCCATTTCAACTCTTACTGCTTTGTATAATTTTAGCATTCTCCCTCTATTCTCCACCTCCAGCCCTCTTTCTCCATAAGTCAAATTGCCTTCTCTCCTTGCTGACCTCTCTTCCATTTTCCTGAGGTACTTGCCTTTTCTCCACATCTGTGCATCTTTAATAGGAGAGCAGGATGATAAGTAAGACTGTTTTATCAATCACACTCATCATAAAGCTTACACATCTATAAGGTGCACACATATTGCCCAAAGCAGTCGGATGAGTCAGTTGATAGCTTTGACAGAAGTGCTGCCTTTGCTCTCAAGCTTCCACTCAAGGCTTCACCCACCCATCCACACCATAACTTTACCCTCAGACTCTCTATGTTAAACATTCAAGGTCTCCAGGTTAATTTCCCCCCCACCCCCCACACACATGACCTTGCTACGTAGCAAGGTTTTACTCGTATCTGTTGAAACCATCAGGTTCATGGTTGGCTGAGCAGCTCCTTCATAAACAACCTAAACCGTGACACAAGGCAAAGCTTGATAGCCTCTCTCTCTGGGCTGTGCTCTGCTGTGTGTGCTTCTTACTATGTTTATGCGATGATGTGAAATTGACTTAGCAGCGCCCCTGTATCCGTGTTTGACAGCAACATGACATTAAGACTTGTTCTACAGCAACATTAGCGTGGCACCCCGTCTGCAAGCTGTCTGTGTATGCAAATCAGATCTGAAGCCCCTGCCATTAATAGTTCTTTTTAGGGATTTTAAAGTAGAAAAGACAACCAACACACAGCTCAAAGGTGGTGTTTTTTTTCCTTTTAAATGTGCTGAAATTCCTCACATTGGTTTATATTCGTTGTGAATTTATATTGAGAAAAAATATAACCTCAATGCTAAAGAAACAGACCAAAGATTTTTACTCTTTCCCTTTCTTTGTTAATCAACCACCTTCTGCGGTTTGCCTAGGCTACCAGATAAAGTCCACCATTAAAAAAAATGACTACATCCTAATGATATTGCCTGTTTTTGTCTTTCGTGTTCTTTTTTAAACAGTTAAAAATAAATGTTGACCATTACAGAAGCTATTTAATGACTCTCCTGTTTACTATAGAATGCTTCCCACACTATTATATGTGCCTTGGGTATAAGTGGTGTGGAGACACGATACCATTCGACAAATAAATGCATTTATATCGCTTAAATACTTTGGCCAAAAGGTGCATACATAAAAAAACTGCAAACAACAAAGAAACGAGCTACAAACTGGTGAAAATGTGCAGCAAATGGTGAAATGAGCTGCAAACACACTTTTGATCCAAAGTAAAATAGAAAAATGCTGCAAACAAGCAACTAGGAGTCGAACAGAGAAAAAAATATATTAAATCTGAGTATTACTTATATTACTATCCATAACTTAAATGAGAAGAAAATGAAAGATGACAAACGTCTTCTTTCTTCTTCCAGCTTTCTTGTTTATCAATCATATGTTAAAGCTTATCTTCCTATTTGTATTGAGGGTTTGGTCTGACATTATTTGTTCCTTACTTTTTTTGCATTTGTTTATTTTTACTTGCATGTTTTGGTGTTTGCATCAAACATCTTTTTGCAGCTAATTTCCTCGTTTAGTGCACATTTGCACCTGTCGTCCACCGTACCTGACTCCTACGTAGCTAGACTTAGTTGCCATTTAGATGCATATTTTTCTTTAACTCTGCAAAGTAAGAATAGATATCACCATTGCCGTAAATAAGTGTTTTAGGTTTAAGCATCAGTACAGTTAGAGTGGTTGGTGTTGCTAACTCTAATGGCAGTCTGTATTTTTTATATTGTGACCATTCTTTACTTTTAGTGCGAGTCTTACAGCAATCCTCTGAGCTCCAAGGCAGATAGGGCTTAAAAGTTCAAAAGAGTAAACTAATCCAACCTTCTGATCAACTGATCCTCTAGTTTTTCTATCATTGCTGAATTTTGTGTGTGCCTTTCTTTTTGAGCAACAAACACGTATCATAGTAATGTCCATTTCAAGAATAAAGTGTTTTTTCATTTATAATCCAAATATAGATTGAATTTAGTCAAAGATAGCCTCATAGTAACCATTTTAAATCCCAGAAAGCTTAACTAAAAGCTGGGATTTCAAGGAGTTTACATTTAAGTTCTTTTGATTATGACAAAACAGAGAATTTTTCAGCAAAGTGCCTTAAAGTTCAACCATAGTTTGTCTTTGATCTTGTCTTGTTAAACAGTAAGCTTGTGCAAAAACACATGAAACTCACACAGCAGCAATGCATTCTTATATTATACTGCTTAGTGCAAGTCATGCTTATGCGCAGCAATTGATGGACAAACCACAAACACACAAACAAAGATGCAAAAATAAAGAAAAAGATTTAAAGTGGGGCCACCACACATGTACAGAGATAGTGGCAAGACGTACAGGATGTTTTTCTTCTTCCCCCAGAGCCAATTTTACATCCCTCCCCATTTCTCCCATGGAGAGATTTTAATTAATTCCTACCCTTTGTATGTTAGCCAAGATCAAACGTGGAACGACAGAAAAACACTGCAACTTTCCCCTAAGTGTACTTAATGAGCAATGGTAATTTAGGTCCTCCTTTTTTCAATGCCTCCCAGAGAAGAGCTGGGTTACCTCAGATCTAATGCATTATTTATGTAGCACAGAGCGCTGCCAAAGCTGTTTCTGGAAATTATGATGGATGGATGGATGGATGGATGGATGGATGGATGGATGGATGGATGGATGGATGGATGGATGGATGGATGGATGGATGGATGGATGGATGGATGGATGGATGGATGGATGGATGGATGGATGGATGCCTTTTCTTTTGAACCTCTCATTTATTTTTTTTCTTTCAAAAGCAGTTAGTTTTCCTACTTTAAACCAAACTGATTAATAAAACTGCATTTTTTGGAAAAGACAAAAAAGATTACAGCAAACAGAATGACTATATTATAATACTATATTGTATGTAAAATTTGGAAATTTTGTTGATGCTTATGAGGTAACTTGTTACACGAAGTGGGATGTATCATATAAAAAAGTAGTATAAAAGTAGTGTAAAAAATATTTGTTTTATATTGTTTTACTAAAATACAAAGTTTTAGCACTATATTTATATCAGGACAGTAAAATGTTTAACTCAAAGCAATACACTCTTTATGCATTTCTTCGCTTTTAATTTCAGCAACTCTTCTGGATAAATTATAACATTCTACATAAAAGTTTTATTTACATTTTTTATTTTACATTTAAACAGCAGAGCCTATTGAAATTCTTACAAATCGAACCTTTTTCAACTGTTCAACTATTTCAACTATGTGGAAACATAAAAAAAACTGTATAATGTTGGATTAGATGCTGTCAATGCCTAATTTTACAAAAAAAATAACTTTCTCTTTACATTACAACATGAATTTAACAGAAATCTAACTTGTTTATTACAATATGTGTTTATTTTCAAAATGAATAAAATATTTTTATTAATCTTGCACCATATACAGCTAACTGTTATGCTTATGATTTTTTCATAAAATAAGTTATCGTCTGATCTAATCTTTTTTTGGTTACTCTTTTAAATATTTAATGTTTATTGCTGTTGAAGTTACTTTTCACTTTAAAATCTGTCTAAAATGTCTGAAAAAAGGTTTCTTTTTGTGGTCATTGCTTTGTGTCACAGTCTCCTTTGTTTCTATCTTACCAGATTTTTCAGGGAACTACCTCCACCTGGATGCAGGCACTCACACCCAGCGCAAGAAAGCCAGACTTCTGAGTCCAGAAGTGGGGCCAGAACGTGGTCCTCTCTGCCTTCTCTTCTATTACCAGCTTCAGGGGGAGGCACAAGGGAGCCTCCGAGTCTTGCTGAGGGACGGTGACCAGGAGGAGACCCTTTTATGGGCTCTAAAAGGCGAGCAGGGGCCCAACTGGAGGGAGGGAAGAACCATCCTTCCCCAAAGTCCCAGAGAGTATCAGGTAGGTAGATGCTGACCATCTTTCTGGATAAAGAACGTGATGTCCTTTTAATGATCGAGAATTATGCTTTTACAGTTTCTTCAGATCTTTATATGATTTAAAATACTGGCATAGTATGTTAAAAAGTAATTTTGTGAGGCAAAACAGAGTAGAAAACATTTCTGATCTCTCTGTTGGTCTATGACATGTAAACCCAAGAAAATATGTTACTATTATTGATTATATTACTTGTTAACGTACAGGAAAAAAGAGCTGCAATATAAACTAAGCTCTAAAAATAATAATTAAAAAACGTGAAACTTCATTTATTATGTTATTTTTGCAAAAGAAATAATCTAATCAAAAAATAGGGTGGCCAGATAAATACAATGTTTAGTTTGTTTTATGGAAAACACAATAGTATAAAATGCTGAATCTGAATTAAACATTATCAAAGCAGAAGACTGAATTACAAGATATTCTACCTGCCCATCTTTGGTTATGCAATATCACTTGGTAAATGTTTTATATAGTCCACAGTATAGCCATGCTTTGGTGCAGAAATTTGACATTTCTGCATAAGAATTGAAACATTTTAACCAAAAGCAGTAAATCCCACATTTTTCCTTAATACACATTTAAAAAAAAAAGTGTTAAAATTTCCCTGACAAATACAGTTTCCTGGTCTTAATTGAGGTCTGACCTTCCTACTCATTCTTGGTTTTAACATTGCAAAAAAATGTATAGTTAATCCAACAACAAATGAAACACTATAACATTACCCATTGTCAATTAAAGCAGTTGTTTTAAATGTTTATCAAATCTTAATTAAACTCGAACAAAACAATTAGAAAGTAAATGCAGAACTAAGTGAGAGTTATTTTCATGCTTTTAGTGACATAAGGGAGATCTGTCTTTCTGTCTTTCACTGGACAATCGTTATCCACAGCAGATCAAAGGAACATTTTCAGACCTTTTCAATTTGATTTGTACATCAGCATTTTCTATAGAATTTATTCAATTTTGTCTGTGTGTTTATGTTCCTGGTGTAGGTGGTTTTTGAAGGGTTTTTTGATCACCCAACTAGAGGCCACATCAGGATAGACAACATCTACATGAGCAACAACATTGAACTAGAGCAATGTGCAGGTAAGTCACATATCGGCTCCATAAGGCGCTACCTGTTTGATTTTGTGTTTACCTGCATTCTGAATAAAGAAGGAGAAATGTTAATAAAGGAATTCTAATGTAAATTTGCAGATGATATATATATATATATATATATATATATATATATATATATATATATATATATATATATATATATATATATATATATATATATATATATATATATATATATATATATATATATATATATATATATATATAGAAATAAATAAATAAGAAATGAATTTAGGCAGCAAACGACCTGTGGGCATGGATTTTAATCAATGTTTCATTATATCCGCCTCCATCTTTTCCTGTATCATTCTCTCCTGCTGTTTCTTCCTTCCTTTTGTTCCTTCTTACCCTCTTTGTCTCCATATTTATCCACCTCTAAAATCTGAAATGCTTCTCCCTAATGTGTCAGACATCATGCAGAAAAACTATGCTTGCTACATCCAGGAAAAACTCAGACTGTTGTGACTAAACAAACTTTCAAGACTGAAACAAGACTTAAAATTATGCAAAATGAAATTTACAAAATCTATTAATAACAACAATTTCTGTTGCTGATACTATTTACCTTCTTTTTCAATTCTATAATTATTAAACTGTCTTTTTTCATAACAGATGTAATGTTCTCTAACAGTTAATAAACAGCAGAATATTTAGGTTCCTGTTCCCATGGCCTTTCGACCATCCTTCCTTCCCAGGCCTCCATTTCCTCTCCGTTCACGCTGTCCTGTAACCTTTTTAACTTTTCTTCATCCATTTCCGCTCCTCTTCTTATGATGTTTGCTGACACTAAAACTTAGTTTATTAAACAATCAGGGTAGACAAATGTTAGAGTTCAGTGAGAGAAAAGAAAAGGAAGTTTCTGTTTCCCCCTCCTTGTATCTTTCTTTATACAGTTTTTGTTTAAAAAAAAAATGTTGACAGTGACATCCAGAGGAAGCTAATTCATATGAATTATATATTCAGAGGTTTAAAATTCAATTTGTAAATGAACAATAGATCAAATACAATAAAACATGTAAATTAGAGACACGATATTCTTCTAACATTTCTGGTAACATCCTTCTTTCCCCTTCTTTCTCTTTCCAGAGCCTCTCCCTGCTTTGGCTTCTGGCATCCCCAGTAAGTTCTGCCTCTTGTGCATTTGTACATCCTTTGCCAATCTGTCCGGTCTTCCCGCTTGATGCTAAGCTAAGCCTGTTGCATTATTCTGGCCCAGAGTAGCATTTCTAAACCATGGGGAATCTCACTATTCTCAACAGCTCAACTCAAGTCCTAAGAGCCCTTAGAGATTTCTGTTTTTTATTGCAAAGGTTTTATTTGAGTACTGATGTGTCGTGGCCTGCAGCTTGTCAGCACTTTTTGCAGTAGTTTTATGAAGGGTTCCTTACGAATGACTGATTCAGAATGGATCTAGGTAACATTAAACAATTTTACTTCCCTAATTATGTTATCAGGTGCTCTACCATACACTACTTATGCAAACAAATAAAAGAATGAACATATTCTTATTTTTTTGTGATTTGGAAAGATGTTAGTCACAGGACAAATAATGATACATCAGATATTTTAGTTTGAAGTCAGAGAACTCGTTATGTACTGCATCAATACACCCCTGAAGTTCAAATTCTGATTTAGAAAGTTGAGATTTTTTCACCAACCTCGAGTTTAAAATCCAAATAAAGGCAGTGACAGACTGTTTCTTTGAAGTCTCCAATAGCAGTACATCTAAATCTCTGTTAAAGTATCCCTCCAGGGTTTGAGTAAAAAAACCCAGAGATACAGTACTCAGTTTCTCCTGTATTGTAGTAGTTAAGCATAAAAATTACAAATGCCACTTAATTTCCTAAATCAGCTGGTTGAGTTGTGTTTACAAGAATTCAGTATGATAAGGGAACATATTATTAAAATCGATATAATTTATGCTCACATATGTCAAAAATCAAAAACAGAATTAGATACGGTTTCCAACTTTAACTAGAACATTGTTTTATCATTGCAAGATCTAAGTTTTGATTTATTGAGATCTTTTTTGTTTTCCTTTTTTTTATTTTTTTTTATTTGTATTAAGTAATGTTGGTTGTTGCCTAAAAATGTAGCAGTTTTTAAAGGAACCAATATCTCTCCTATTTTTTTTTAAATGCCGTATATACAGGAGTTATTTTATAAAGGTTTCCATCAAAATTAACCCAAAGAAAAAGGCGACTGCATGATTTTTTTAATACTCCAGATGCATAGGGGTAAGTGTGCCACAAAACTAAAACTTGACAGCCGATCAGAATGCTTCAAAAACAACCATGACTTCCTGTTCTGTCATGAATTATGGATCAGAATCATAGATCATCTCTAAACAAATACAAACAAAAACAGTCTGAAGCAATGTAAAAAATCAGCCCCTCCCTGATGAAATTCATTTTAAATCCAATTTTAAAATAAAATAACCAAGTACATTAAAAATGGTTGAACTTGTCTGACACAAGGAAGAAAATATTCGCCTCAGACGGTGATGCGCCGGTCAGTGATATTCATCTTTCCATTTACAGGCCCAGGCTCAAAACCCCAGCTTTTATAAATCCGTGCTTCATACTTCATTTAAAGGGATGTAGAACACAGTTTATGAGTGGCTAAAAGGCATAACCGCATAAAAATGTGCAATTTGTACTATAATAATATCTGAACTCTATTGATCTCACATTGTAGAAATGTACCTGAACCCATCCCCTTGGAGAGCTGCCATTGAAGGGTGCCTAGGGAGCAAACGGGGGTTAAAGGTCTTTGCTCAGGGACCCAGAGTGACAGTCGAACAGAGTGGGGCTCGAACTCAGAAACTAAGGATTCCAAGTTCTATGCCGTAACCACCAGGCCGCCACTCCCACTCCTGATATTAGATATCCTGATCGGTGTGGACAAGGTCCCAGTTATGCAGAATTAATTTCCTAATGGGAGCCAACAATGCAGCAAGCTGCCATCTTGAATCAGACGCTCAAAGTTATTTCAGCATTTAACGATAATCATGCAGAAATACGAAACGAGGACCAAGTTCTGGTTTTTTACCTGATGTGGAAAAGACATCCACAGGAACTTTGATGATATTAAGAGAATTAAGTAGATCGCTATCATTGTAGCACCATCATATACCTGGAATATTTAATAAATAATATTGTTGTTTTAAACTTTTATAAAACTGTACATACTTTTTTCCCTTATATTAGCCTTAAGTGTGATGCTGCCAGCTGTAAGAAAATCATTGACCTCAGCTGTGATGACTAAACTGTGACAGCTGAGGTATAACATCCCCCATATAGACTAGCTTTAATTTACTTTACTCATCAGAAATTCTATCCTATTCTCAAGACTGAGTTTTAATCGACTCCAAAGACATATTTAGGTTTCCTCAAAGTTTGAATCAAATCTAAACAGAACTGTTGTACGATAATTCTTGCGATTGAATTGACAGCTTAACATTTTTAAAGGAAGTTGTGGGTATTTTACTGTAACATTTATATAGGTTGATATGATCAGCATAAGGGAACAATGATGAGGGTTGATGGAATGGATCCACTGCATGAGTCCCTGCATGTTAGACTGATGCTCTTTGTGATGCACACTTGTTATGATGGAAATACACTATATTGCCAAAAGTATTTGCTCACCTGCCTTGACTCACATATGAGCTTAAGTGACATCCCGTTCCTAATCCATAGGGTTCAATATGACGTCGGTCCACCCTTTGCAGCTAGAACAGCTTCAACTCTTCTGGGAAGGCTGTCCACAAGGTTTAGGAGTGTGTTTATGGGAATTTTTGACCATTCTTCCAGAAGCGCATTTGTGAGGTCGCACACTGATGTTGGACGAGAAGGCCTGGCTCTCAGTCTCCGCTCTAATTCATCCCAAAGGTGTTCTATCGGGTTGAGGTCAGGACTCTGTGCAGGCCAGTCAAGTTCATCCACACCAGACTCTGTCATCCATGTCTTTATGGACCTTGCTTTGTGCACTGGTGCACAGTCATGTTGGAAGAGGAAGGGGCCAGCTCCAAACTGTTCCCACAAAGTTGGGAGCATGGAATTGTCCAAAATGTCTTGGTATGCTGAAGCATTCAGAGTTCCTTTCCTTGGAACTAAGGGGCCAAGCCCAGCTCCTGAAAAACAACCCCACACCATAATCCCCCCTTCACCAAACTTTACACTTGGCACAATGCAGTCAGACAAGTACCGTTCTCCTGGCAACCGCCAAACCCAGACCCGTCCATCAGATTGCCAGATGGAGAAGCGCGATTCGTCACTCCAGAGAACGCGTCTCCACTGCTCTAGAGTCCAGTGGCGGCGTGCTTTACACCACCGCATCCGACGCTTTGCATTGCACTTGGTGATGTATGGCTTGGATGCAGCTGCTCGACCATGGAAACCCATTCCATGAAGCTCTCTGCGCACTGTTCTTGAGCTAATCTGAAGGCCACATGAAGTTTGGAGGTCTGTAGTGATTGACTCTGCAGAAAGTTGGCGACCTCTTCGCACTATGCGCTTCAGCATCCGCTGACCCCGCTCCGTCAGTTTACGTGGCCTACCACTTCGTGGCTGAGTTGCTGTCGTTCCCAAACACTTCCATTTTCTTATAATACAGCTGACAGTTGACTGTGGAATATTTAGGAGCGAGGAAATTTCACGACTGGATTTGTTGCACAGGTGGCATCCTATCACAGTTCCACGCTGGAATTCACTGAGCTCCTGAGAGCGACCCATTCTTTCACAAATGTTTGTAAAAACAGTCTGCATGCCTAGGTGCTTGAATTTATACACCTGTGGCCATGGAAGTGATTGGAACACCTGATTCCAATAATTTGGATGGGTGAGCAAATACTTTTGGCAATATAGTGTACATGAAGTTGTGTTATAAATCTGAAATAATTATCAGTGTATCATAGGACGTATATTTTACGCTGCAAAGAGGTTTATTTTTTGGATAGCTGGAGAAATAGTTAATATGGATAAGTTTTTTGTTCCTGTTTTTGGTCATATAGGAAGTACATTTTTTATTTTTCTTCACACTATAAACTTAATTCTATAACTTCCCTCTTTTTTGCTTCCTGTTTTCTCTCATTGTTTATTCTTAACTTCCTGGTTTGTGACAAGTCCTAAAAAGTCCCTGATCTCACCTGCATAAAATGCAGAGCTGATCAGCATCCAACTTTCATTTTTCTTTCTCTCTTTTATGTTGTTCCTTCATCCTGAAATAGCCCAGCCTGAGAGGAGATAAAAGGCTTACACAGATTATGCTCCCGGATTTCTTGTTTTCAAAGTCTGAGTTTGGGACGTGATCTGCTGGCTCTGTGTGTTCTGTTGTGTAGTGAGCTGACCGTGATGTTAAAACTTATCTAAGCCCTCTCAGAAAAATGTCAAAACTGAGTATCAGTGGTTTAAGTTGTACATCGCTTCAGGATGATTGCAATTGAAAATGCACTCTCTTTTGATCACAGTCAGGGTATTTGAACTGTCTAAGTAGAACTGTTTCCTACATCCAGATACCAGACCAAAAATGGTAGAAAGCCAAGACACTACTCAAGTCAGATGAGTCATGCCACAACTATTTTATTTAATCCTTACTAGGTTTTTTTACACAGTTAATTCCTGGACAGTGATCATATGACTCCCTTTTTAATAGTGGCACAGGTCCTACATTATATATTTAATGGGATTAAATGCCAGAAAGAAGGATTACATGTCTTCTTTGAGACGCTTGTTAACAATCGGACCCATCCATTATTGGTAATCCATAAAAGGCCCCAGTTTCATCCCTTGATGCCAATTTCTGTGTTTGAGTTTATGGGTTTCCCTGGGAGGTAAGATGTAAATTGTTTTTGTCACTGTTGAGAATAACTCAGTTAAACATTTTGCCTGATTAGTTAAACAAGAACTCTGCAACTATTTTCTATGTGAAACACATCATTTAAAAATGCAATTTATCTGGATATCACATTTATACAAATAACACATTTTAAGTGTGGTTGCAGAAGCTGTGGTATAAAAATATCATGAAAACCTGTTCAAAATGGATTCAAAGGAAAGGTCCTGCTCAAATATGTACACAAATATTTGTAATATTATCTTGGTTGGCCACTTGTGCTTGCTAAGCAGATCCTGTTATTTTGGTCATGACCCAAATTTCATGACCATAAAGGCGAGGATAGAGAAGTATCCTGATCTGCCTTTATAGAACTATTGATACCATAATATTGTCTCTTTGCCCACTAGAGGGAAGACAGCAGCTTTATAATCAAATTCAATTTAAGCTCTTAAGTAACACATCTACACCTTCAAATAAAGTGTAAATAAAGTCCACTATTTCCTTGTGATTCTGTATCAAGCTCCATCTTTTTTTTTCTATTTCCCTTCCCTTTCTTCTCCCTGGCTAGTTGTTGCCTGCCTTGCTTCTCTTTCATTTTTTTCTCCTCCTGGTCTTCAGTTCTCTCTATTTCTCTCCAAATCAACTTCTCTCTCACAACAGGTTTCTCTCACAGCGAGTTGACAGAGTATTGAAGTTTCAGTCAAGCCCTTTAATGCAGGATTAAAGATATCATGGCAGGATTAGCTTTTTTCCCTCCACTTCTCTACCCTCCCTCCCTTCTATCGTCTCACTTTCTACCAACTCCTCTCTGTTTCATTCCATTCTCTCCTCCAATAATACCTTCCCTCTTTTTCCTTCCCCCAACCCTGCAATTTTGTTCTCTCTCTCTGCTCAAATTCAGTTGCTCTTGACCCCCTCAGAACAGGAAAAAAAAAACTCCATCAAGTGCTTAACATTCCCAACCTTTTGTTTAGGTCAGGCAGCTGGTTCACAGTCAATCCTTTGCATTCACTGGTTGAATTGGAGCGCATGGCATGGGCCTGTTCGTGTAATTGTGCAACGAATGTTCGGGAGGTTTGCATCACTCAAAATAAAATGTTTTTGACTGTGTAGATCATGGAGAATGTAGTTGAAATTTAAAACCAATAGTGTTTCTGCCTCAGTTTGTGTGACGCTTGGCGAAAAACCTGCAGTGATTTTTTTGTCCTTTCTGACAAACCCTGTCCGTCTCTCAATTCTTGCACATATTTATGTCGCTTGCAGGGATAGGCATGAGTAGTGTGTTTAACTACTCTCTAAGTAGTTTCTAAGAAGTTTTTCTTTTTTAAATAGGGAAGCCAGGTGAAGCAATTTAAAGTGAGTTTTAAAAAAATTAAACAAAGCAATATGTCATCATCTGGAAAATCAAAAAGTCTGAAGTTTCTTAATTTGTATATTTTTACATCTGTGCATTCTTTGCTCTGGATATTTGAAGAGGACAAAGACAAATGACAGAAAGATTCCAGTTAAACATTTTAGTTTATTTTATTTTTGTTTTGTTTCCTTTAATTTCATACTTCACTTGTAATAAAAAAAAAACACATACGCATACTGTAATTACTTTTATCTAAAATGAAAAATAATAAATAAATAAACAAACAAAAGGCAAATATTGTACCATTATACACACTGACTCAAATTTAAGTCTTCAATCTAGTTCAGGAAATACTAGAAGAAGCCAGATTTTATTTAAATCGATGTTTGACCAGCAGTGGATCTGATTAAAAACTCTTTAATATGAAGATAAATGATCATGTACTGGAGTGTGTTCTCTACCTGCATTCAAGAAAAAGCCCCTAAAAAGGGATTTTAAGACACTGAAATGTTGAAGACATGGTTTGTATTGAAGTAGACTTTTCTCTTTGTTGTAGTTATGAATTTTCTCTTTACAGATCTGCATATAAGTAAAATGAGCAGATCATTTTCCACAACTGCTGAGATTTTACAAAATAAAAATACTCTCTATTTTACCCATTTGTTAGTGAACGAAAGAAAAACAAGTAAATAATAAAATAAAAGCCTCAAAATCAGTATTTTGTTGAATTACACATTTATTTGCATCTTGGCATGTGCTACCAAATTGCTTTTGGACGTTAGTAGCCAGAGTGAATTATTCCTCTCTTGGATTTTAACATTTATTAGATTGTTAGATATAAATTTTAGAGAGAGCGATGCAAGGGTCTCATTACCTTTTCCACAGCTGTATATGATATGATGTTGGTATTGTATTGTAAAGGTTGCATCCTGCTGTAAGCATGCAGAGAAATCAAACGCTTGAGAGAGCCGCCATGTGCAGATAAACAGCCAGTCTTCAGCTTTTAAGTCTGCAGTGCAGTCTGCATGCCTGCCTCACTCGTCACTCACTGAGCCAACCAGTAATGTTTCCTCCTGCCCTCCAGGGGGTGCCATATCTGGGATGAGGCCCACTGTAGCCGCAGTGAAGGTTCATCTGGTCCCCGCCTACTGGTACTATGTGTTGGTTGGAGGCAGCGCGCTCTTGCTGTTGATAGGTGTGACTGTGACGATGGTTCTCTGCTGCCAGCGCTCCCATTGGATGAGCAGGAAGAGCAACAGTGGCCACCACCATCACCAGCATTCAGTGATGTACCACAACAACCAAGCAGCCTATCAGGAAGCTCCAGAGAGCTACTATCAGTGTCAGAACCCCAGCTGCAACATGTTGTGCAGCACCAACCAGAGCCTCCTTTATCCAGGAACGGATTCAAGCCAGGAGCCGAGGCTCATCATCACGCTGGAGAAAGATGAGAGCTACAGCACCCGCTGCTGAAATGACTGGGATACAGTGAAACGTAGCGCCAACTGGATGAAATGATCAAATGCAGAGCTGGATGTGTCTGATTCTTTCCTTAAAATAACAAGGAACTCAGCATCAACAGCAATGTTCAGCAGTGGGGGTGTTCACAGTCAAAGTGCTTCAGGCCCTCTTCTCGAAAATGGAGCGCTGTACACCGCTGGATTGGCCGCTTTACTTGAAAGTCGTAACCGTCAGGATGGAAAAGCTTTAGTTTTCAAGTTCAAATGTTCCAACATAATGACTTTTGATGTCCTTTGTAGTTGCCAAGTGTACAGTAAACCAGCCTGAAGATTGATCGCATCGTCGATTAAGCAAATCACACATGAATGACCTAACAAAATTGTTGGAAAGACTTTGCATGGATAGGCAATTAACAATGTCAGTGTTCCTGTTTTGTCAAAAAGGTTCACACACAAGTATGGAGGATGCATTTGGTTTTAGTATTTCTTAGGGTCTTAATGAAGCTGCAATTCGTTGTTTTCCTGTGCATCTAGGAATCTTAGGGACAGGACAACAAAGAGAGGAGAGTTTTGGTGTGAAACGGGTACTGAGCTTTGAGGTGATGAATCATGCATTAGAAATGCCAAGCGGCAAATGCACGGACAGTCTTTAAAACCTTTTAAGCCTCGTCTTATTTTGCTTTTTTTCTTCTGTCCATCCCACCTTGGATATGCCTTTAATAAAAGTGCTTTAAAACCTTTACCTCCTCCCCCCATAGGCTGAGGTAAGGTTCTAGTTTTAAATCTAAATGAGGATTATTTCCTTTTTTGCCTGGATCGTCTGCCTGTCGGTCATCGTTTCAGAGTAAAAGTCAAAGATCTTAATACGTTTGATGGGGTGAATGAAACAAATAATCTGAATGCAAAGGAATGCTTTCATTCTGTTTTCTGTGCAATGATATGCAACAAACCTAATAGGTATTTTGTAAAATTCAAATCCACTTTGGATGGTCTGCTTTAATTCTAGAAATGAGACCAAACATGCTGTGATGCAAAGAACTCTGACTCATGTAGGTTGGATGTCCATTAACGATTTATTTCTAAGAGCCAGCTGCTTAAAAAAAAAAAAACATCTTAGTAACAATGAAAAAAATCCTAATTTCTTAAAAGCTTTAATAGTGAATTTCTGGTAACTAAGAAATTAAAGTGGCTTTTTGTTCGTCATCGAGAGCTTTTTTCTTATTATCATTTAAAGACACCCACCAACCTTCCTGTCTTTTTCAGATGAACACTGTTTTGACAAATTCCATAGGATTTAGAGAAAGTTTCTATATACAGTACAATCTTTGCTACAGTTTTCATATGATAGAGCAGATCCCAAGCATGTGCACCCATAAAATTATTTTTGTGACATTTTCAAAGCTTTTAAATGTCCTGAACAATTTAACTGAAAAAACAACATATTTGCAATCTGGAAAAGGTACAAATGCGTGATAACTTTCTTGGGTCGGCATTTTTTATCCATTTTGATCATTCAGTCTTCAGTATTGCACATCTTGTATTGGCGAGATTTAAGCACTCAGCCGTGTCTAAGTTCTCCAGATCTATCATTCTAATTTAAATCTATTGATTGTGAGGAAAACTGGTGTCTAAACAAACTCATTGGTGTATAAGACAGTTTTCTATGTCAGAAAAGACCTCCATCCTTTTCCTTCTAGACATATGGAGAATAGAACAGACTTCTGTCACAGAACCAAATCAGGAGTTTTTGCAAATGCATCTTTTTCAATGTTCCTGAAAACCTTTGGGCAGCCGCCTTGACCACTTTTAGTCCCTTCTCTTCACACAGTTTGGAGAAATGCTCAGGATATATAATCTCACTCTCTTCCAATATTTTATTCAACTATTAAAGCTACAGTGTGTAATTTTTAGCGACATCTAACATCCAGACTGCAGACCGCAGCAACATGAACATCTCCCCCCCACCGCTTCTCCCCCCCAACAGTACGGCGAGCATTACGGGACAAAATGTCTTCCACGACGTCTGCATCACCTACCTTCTCAAGTGATGAGGTTTGTTTACATAGATAATTTTACAGATAGTATTTCATTAGTCTGTGTGTTCAGTACCATCTCAGTTCATCTCTCTCAACTTGCCGTAGTTACTTTCGAGCGTAATGGGCGATCTCGCAATCGCTAGTTTGTTGGCTCTGCGCTGCCGTAGCGCAAAGATGTCTGCCTCCATGGCTGCGAGACCCGCTCCTATGTAATTATAAATAACGAATTCTAAGGCAACGCAAATATTAAGGTTAAGAGGCTGAGCTCGTAGATGATGATAAATAACATAGTTATGTATAATATATTAGATTTCTGACTGTATATCCCTGTAATTATTACACACTGTAGCTTTAATTGAATTTAAAACCTTTTTTTTTTGTAATCTGATTGATACCTTTGAACACTAAACCCCATTGAATCCTCTCCAACTTTCAGCCAGCAGCGACTTTAGCTAAAGGGTGCAATTGTTAAAATGCCATAAAACCTGAACAGCTAAACTTTATATGCATTTAATCAGATGCACTGTAATATAAAATGATTTGAACTCAAGGAGACTGAATGCACCATCAAAAGTTGGTTCAAAAATCAGCAACCAGGTTTTTTGCACCAATTTATTTTCTTTACATTTGTTAATCTAGATTGCATTGTTGTATAAAATGTTCACCTTTCAATGCATATACCAGTATACCTTTTGGATTATTTCTTCGATGAACTTTACTCAAAAAGCTTTACCCTCCTAGATGATTAGTTGTTAAGCCGTATCTGCATTGTTTTGATTGAGCACTTTTCTTTCAGTTTTACAAGTTATGGATTATTTGTTATATTTTCTGTGATGTTTTGAAATACTTGCAAACATTTAAGAAACCCTTCATTTTTTGCACGAAGGGCTAAAAACGTTTTTTTATGACAACTTGACTTCAGTAGTTCCTGATTTCTATTTATTACATGTCACTTCTTAACAGCTGAAGCCATTTGGATTCAAGTGTTTGATTCAGATAGCAGTAAATCATGAAGCGAATTGATTTTTCTGATAATGTTTTAGCTGGCAAAATAGACAGTTTAATGTCTGTTTGAAATGTCTGCAGTTGCAATCAGTGTCCCACCATCTTGTATCTTCTGCTACAATCCTACACCACTTTCTTCATGTCCAAATCCCCCCCTCCTTTCTGTATCAAAACCTCTTTGTTCCTATTCTGATACCTTCTTATACTGCAAATCCTCCCAGTATAAAAAAGAAAAAAACACAAGAGATTAAATGAGAGGCAGTGATGGAGGGGAGCAAAATCTCTCAGAGGAGAAGGGCCCATTAAGCGAGTCCCCTTTTTTCCTCCTAAGAATGCTCCCAGAGATGGAAGCAGATGAAAGAAAGGGAATAAAGGATAGCTGTCCATACTTTCTAAAGATAGATTTTTCCTTTTTACTCCATGAGGGAGACTAACGGGATGGCAGGTTAGGGGATTGGATTGAAGATGGAGGCCAGTTCGTTTCAAAAACAAGAGTAGATGAAAGAAGTCTTTTGGGATAACTGACAGAATGACACAGAGCTGCAAAAGTATTCATACCCTTTGACTTTTTTGGCATTTTGTCACATGACATAAAGCGTGAGTGATTAGATTTATGATAGATCAACACACTTTAGCACATCCTTTACAAGTTCAATGGACATATACATGGATTTAATGTTTTATGCATATAATTATCTGTTTTGACTAAGTTGATTAGTGCTTTGTTGTTGGTTGGTCATATAAAATTTTTATCAAATACATTAATTTGTTTGATAATTGAATGAAAAAAATGAGTAAAGATTCAAAGGGGTTGCAAATAACTGTGAGACACTGTGATTCACAGACACCAATATGTCCTGTAAAAACAAATTATATAGATTTCCAGCAAGCTCCGTAAACCAGTCAGTTAAATTATTGTTTTATGCATTAGTTATTCTCTGTATCGACCTATTTCATCATATTGCACATCACCAAATGCAGATTTGTGCTTCAGTAAACAAGAATTTCGGTTATTTTGTGCTTGCATGTCCATTCTCTGCCGCCCCAGCTCCTCTTTCTTCAATTTCAATCAACTTGTGCATGATTTACACATTATGTGACTCATTCCAGCAGCCCAGTGCCATAACCTAATCAATGTGAGTCCGAATTCAAACCGAGGAATGATATATGACCATATTTATGCTGTGCTACCCATGCACTTTTCTATTTTCATTCATCCTCACTGAATCAAACTTTTTAAAAGATGTGGAAAACATTTCAGAGTAAGCTTTTAAATCAGCCTCACTTCCCTCCATCATGGACTACTTTGAAGCCCTTTAATATTCCTAATTAGTTAATGGAGCCGATTGCATTCACAAAACCCTGCAGTCAGCATTTCTATCTTCCAAGGCATCTATATATTTTTTCTCCTCATTCCAACTCCTTCTCTTTTCTTTCCTGGAGAAACATTATCAGAGCGAGGACTCTAACAGGTCTTCAGGCTCCAGCCTGAACAACCAATGGTGGCAAAGAGCCATCCTCGTCTCTGTCTGAATTAAAAAGGCCCCCTTTTTTTATTTTTCTCTTCACTAATTGAAGAGAGGGGAAAAATGGGACTAAAGGGAGTTTTAATCCCCCCTCAGATCCATGTGATAAATCTTCTCAGGATTCCAGCCTGAGGGCTTTAAGCAGCATCATTAAGATGGTATTCAGCGGTCATCTACAGACTGTCCAAGCTCCTTCTTCACTGGTCTTATTTTTTTTTTTATCACCCTATAAGGGATTTCATGTTTTGTTGTCCACTATAGTTGTATTTGATTAAACTTAAAAGAAGTTTAGACTTCATATCGACTGTTGTTGGGGGCGAGGGGGCTTTTAAATATTCAAAAGACAGAATAACTTTAGAACAAAAACAGATTTCAGAAACGTATTAAAAAGCTCTATGTTTATAAAGAGAAAAATAACTTTCTGAATATATTTCTCTTTATCAAAATTTTTGAGGGGCTGCTGGTGTCAGATAACTAGGTATTTCTAAGAGATTTTTTGTTTGTTGCACGGATAACCGATATCCGAATTCGAATGGTCTCTCTTTTTATCTTTTTATCTTAATCACTCTATGAGCTCTTAAATGCACCAGTCTCTGCCAGTGAAACAGGCCCTCAGCCTGATTCCACTTCCACCGTGCCAACAGTTGATAGAGTTTAAGTTCAAAGCATCATTTTTACTTATCAAAGCGTTTTCTTTTTACCTTTTATGACCATAAAAACTTTAAAATTGTGATGAATGCGAATACTTTCATGTTTGCAGGAATAATCAACATAGTACTTCTTTCATTTTTTGTTTGACATTTTATCATGTCAGCTAAACCGGACATATTTTAAATCCTTGTATTTATCTACTTGTTTCCAAATTGTGTTTTTCAGTTTCGTTTACTGAGTGAGTTTATTGTTCACAGCGAGGTACAAGCAATAGTGACGAATTCTTAAAACTTTAAAACAGATTATGTCATTTTAAAAATAAGATAAAAATACATCCATGATTTTGTTTTTTTGTTTTGAATCTGTTTAAAGAGAAAGTATAATCCTGCAAGATGATCTAACAGATTTATGTAATGTTTAGCTAAGTCAAGCTGTGTCCAGTTTAGGCTCACTCTTCATGTTGTTCATCCAACCTACAGTAATTTCAGCCACAGTTATATTACCAGTAATAAATCATTCTGCCTCTGTTTTTCCTGCTGCTATCATTACTGGTTACTGGCTGGATTTTGCAATTTTGCAGGGAGTCGTTTATTTCTGCTCAGCCATTTATATTAAGCTCTTGTCAGTGGTTCAAATATGGTTATGATTGCCATGTTAATTTTAGGCCTTTAATCTTTTATTTTTATCATTATTTTTGGTATGATAAATGATTATTAAATTAACTGTTGAAATTATTATGAAAACATATATTATACATATATGCCTGACTTATACTTACAAACGTTTGTCAGCATCATCTTGTACAGTAACATGTCTTTTTCTGGTTCAATATTAGAAGGCTTTTTTTGTCTAATTCATAAAGTAAATTTAAATTCTAGCCCACTTTTCACTAAGGTTGAGGTCAAAGTTTAGCATTGGCACTTGGACGTGTAATCTTAGACTGCTTTATGCATTTAAAAACAAGTTCTGCTTCTAATCCAGATGAAACCAAAATTGCTTCCCCTTATTCTGTCAACTTAATGATTGATGCTATTGAAGTAGAAGAATTTGGAAAATGGAAATAAAGATACCCTTCCTCTTTCTCTTCCATTCAGTTTTTTTGCAATGTACCAGCTTCAAAATATAGTGAAACAAGCCCATAGCATGATGTTGCCACCACCATGTTTGAAAAATATGACAGTCCTCCCTTTGACTCCACCAAACTGGTGGTACATGTCACAAAGTGAATGAAATTATAGAAAAGGAGAACATTCAAAATTATCGACAACAAAACCAACATCCAGAAGGTTAAAACATCTAACATAAATATGAGGAAAATGAAGCCTAAGGCATCAAAACTGTTTTCAGAGGAAAAAAATCTAGTAAGTTCTGACCTCAGCCATTTTGAAATTGCGTAAAGTATGTTTACAGGCCAAGCCTGTGCCAGGAAATCAGACCACCAAATTCACCAAAATATTCAAATAAGGGATCTTAAAATCCTTAAAACCACAGATAACTGCTAAATTCATACAAACTTTTTACTAGAACTGTAGATGTAAGAACTGTTTAACAATGGTAAAACAATTAATTACCGCTGCAGCACAAAAGGAAATGTATTTGCACATTATTTTGTTTTTCACGTGAGAAAAGTTTACAGTTTTCTTTGATTTGTGTTTGACTTC